CCCCTCGCCGCCCCGCGACCACCGCCCAACCCACTCTCCCCGTCGGGACCGAATGCCCCGTGGGAGCGGGCGGAGGAGCCGGGAGGCCGTGCTCTCCTGTGCTAGGAGCAGGGGCCGCTGTCTGCCAGCGCCACGGGCACGGCCGCCTCCCCGCCCCGGCTCCGTCCAGCACCTTTACCTGATGAGTTTTGTAGAAGAACAAACAGAAGTTGGTGAAAACCACCCAGAGCTTCTGCCAGCCGTTACTGTTTTTGAATTTTCTCAGCAGATACCCTGAAAGCTGGTTCTATGGGAAAGAAAGACACCGGTACTGGTTAGGGTCCTGGGACTCTGTCCCGGAGCAGCACCCGCTACCCCGAAGCGCGCATCGGCCCCCGAGGGCTTTCTTGGCTGTGGCCTTGACTACACTTTCCCGAGCGGCAGCTTCCTTCGCCAGGGCTCTGGGTCGTCAGTCTGCTCATAGTCTGACAGAAGGATGTTTACAGATGTGGGGGGTGAGGTCCCAGGCGCTAAGTAGAAGGACACGAAGTTTCTTTTCCCTGTTTATAACCTCCCCAGCCATGACCCTCATAAACCCGATGCTGTGCCAGGCCACGTGGAGCCAAGTTAGCACAGTCCCAACGAGACGGCCTGGCCCTGAGCGTGGCGTCCTGACCCAGGATGGCCCCTGTGGCCAGCGGCCCCGCCTCTCCCTTGTAACCCTGACTGTGCTCACGAGGGCCCTGCAGGGACGCCTTCAGCCCGCACTCCTCGCCCCGGGCTCGTGGGGCCTGGCGTGCTGGCGGTGCTCTGCCCTTTCTGTGGGCCCTACCTTTCGGGCCCCAGCTGACGGGGGAGCCCGGGGCTCTGACGGCTTCCTCACTTGGTTCTGCCTCAGGTACGACAGGAGCCCAAAACCCATAGCGAATGGGAGGCGGCCTGGGGGCCGAAGGGCCGGAGTGCGAAGTGGCCGCTCCGGGTGAAGGAGGTGGGAGGGGAGGCGGCAGCCCCCACGAGACCGCCCTTTCCGGAGAACCCCAGGGACGCCGTCCGCCCGGATCCTCCCACGCGGAACCAATCTCGTGGGCCTGCACAAGCCCTGATGGTCACGGTCAGCCCGCAGCCTGGTGGCCCCCTGCTCTGCCCGGTCCAGCCCTCCTCCCCTGTAGCCAGCGCAAGCAGAGGGCGCTTGGGGCCACCGTACCTCAACGGCCGCGCTCTGGTCGGCTCTGGAGACGCTGGTGTTCCGGTACCAGCACACGTGCACTGTGGTGTTGGCCCGGTGCTGGCCCTGCCCCTCCAGGGACCCGTGGACGCCGTGAGTGTCTTCGGACCCTTGCTCCGGAGAGACCTCCTCGGAGGACCCTGGGGAAGGAGTCGGCCCTCTGCTCAGAGGGAGACGGGAGCACGGGGCGAGTAGGGCGGGGGTGGGGGCTGCTTTCGGTCCAGTGCTCTGGACTGGGGGACGAGGGAAGCCTGCGGCCCGGGTCAGCAACGGGCGGAGAGCAGTCACAGTCACGCGGCGCTTCTGCCAGGAGAGCCCGTGGCCCCTCCCCACCTCCCCCCTGGTGTTCGGGGTGCCTGGACCGTTCTCTGTGGAGGGAGAGCCCGTGGGCCGGCAGGAGGCCTGTGACCAAGAAAAGGGATCTGTAGGGAAGCTTAGGTGCGGCGGGGTCCCCGAGGGGGCGTCCCGGCCGGAACTCACTGCAGGGAGGAGCGCAGAGCACGCTACCCGGCAGCACCAGGGACGGGTCACCCCCGCTCTTGGCCGCGTCGATGGCAGCGTTCAGGTCACATAGCCACTTCTCCTTTTCCAGGCGGGTGCTGGTGGGGGAGGGCCGAGGCTCAGCGCCCGGATCACAGGACCCAGGCCACCGGGGGCTCCCTGCTGTGCCGGCTTCTCTGACTGAAGGTCCGAGGGCCGCACCCCCCTGGGAGGTGAAGGGCCTGGAGGGGGGGCTTCTCCAGGGACACTGTGTTCCCGAAACCAGAACTTTCAAGTCTCTGCCGCTGAAATACCAGACCCGTTCCTGGTTCACGATTAAGCTGCCACGGCTTCCTGGTGGGGCGTTAAGTGTCCTGTGCTCTCTGACGTCAGCCGTGACACGGTGACGACGGGGTGGAAGCCCAGAGCCGGGTGCCCTCCCGGGAGGAGAAACGCCTCCCCTCTGGAAGGGGCCGGGGACCCCCGGCCCCTACAGGGCAGTGAGCCGCCTGCTCACCTTTGAGCTCAGGCCTCCTTCACACTGGGGTGATTTGGGGGAAGTGGCTCGGCCGTGGGGGCAGGTGGAGGCCGGGCCCCTCCCGACTTGAGGGCACCTAAGTGCCACTAACCACGTGGGCTGCCCCTGGTCGAGGCAGCTCAACAGCACCGTGGCCGCTCCGTGGGGACATTCTCAAAGGTCACTCGCTTCCCACCACAGGAGAACCTGCTCTCTGGTCACATAACTGAAGCAGGGCTCAAGGGGGCACGCGCCCCACAACGACCTCGCTCGTGCCAGGGAAGCACTCCCCCGCCCCACCCCACCGCCCCGGGCCGCTGGGTGCACAGTGGAACATTCTTACCTGGCTGCCACCACGACTGTTTTCTGAGCTGCACAAATGGTGAAACAGTGTGGAACCGACCGCTCGCTCTCGCCCTCTTCTACCTGTGGCGGGAGAAGAGGCGGGCGTGTGGAGTGAGCCCGGGGCCGGCAGAGCCCGCGCCTGCAGCACAACACAGGTGCCTCGGAAGCCCTGTGCTGGGCAAATCTCTGCTGACTACCAGGGGCTACAGGGGGCATGGGGATCCCCAGGCCACGGCACCTGCCACCCAGGTGGGCGAGCTGTGGGCCGCAGGGCACCGAACTACTCACCGGTGGGTCCAGCACTATTAGCTGAAAGTCAAGCACAGGAAAAAATGTTGAGCATTTTCATTATCAAAAAGGGAAATGGACAGTTCGCTTTATAAACCTGGTACCAAAACCTGACAAAGTTAGCTTCAGAGAAAAACCCAACGGGCTGCTCACGGTTCTAAGTGACTCACTGAAGTAACTCCCAAATAAAATACTATCCAATCAAACCCAAAGCACAGACAAGAAATTGTCCTGTGACCGAGGAAGGGTGCTCCCGGGATGCAACGGTGCTTTGACGCTGGGAAGCCGGCCAGCAGAGGTCTCCCTGTCGGGAGGAGGGCGGTCATTTCTGCAATGCCACGTACACCTCAGCTAAAATGCAACGTGTGACTTCTGATGTCTCTCACATGGAAACAGGAGGAAGCCGTAAACATGACACAGGTTCTCTTTCTGAAGCCAAGACCTGTCACCCTTCCCTCTGCATTCAGGATGAGGGCCGGCTGTCTGTTCCCCGGAACCAGCCGGTTACAGACCACCCCCGAAGAGACGGCTTCCCTGTGTGGGGGCCCATGCGATGCCAACCACCAAGCCTCACTCAGGACACAAAAGATCTGAAAGTGTGAGCAGTGGCAAGAGAAGGTCACGATGTTCGTCTCCCTGTAAGTCAGCATGTAAATGTAATGCCATTGAACTAGAAATCCTGGTGCTGTTTTTGGAAGGAATTTGTCCAAATGATTCCTCAGTTTATCTGGAAGAATTAAATACTTGAAAGTAGCAAAGAACTTTTTAAAAAGGAGGACGAATAAGGGGTGGAGCTTCCCAACACAGCAACCCCCCCACATGACAGAACAGTGTGAACTGAGGCTGGCCCGGAGAAATGAGACGGGAGGCCCAGCAGGCACCCCAAGTGTGAAGGCCACAGTGTTTCCATGACGAGGGCAGCCTTGGAGGTCAGAGAGAAACAGGTTCGACAAAGGAAGCTGCGTGCAAGGGGGGACGTGGCACGTCCCCATCTGGTGGCCCGCAAGGAAACGCGTTCAGGCAGTTTGTGAGGGAGACTTAAGGAAACTGAATGTATCAGAAGAACAAAAAGGCGCCGGTGTGATCTTGGCACAGGGAAGGACTTCCTGAGCCCGCACTAAGGATGGGAGCCCTGATGGAAAGGATGAACTGATCTGACTATAAACATGTCTGAATTCCCTCCTTCAGCAAGGATTTGTTGGGACCTCTGTGCTAGGTGCCGTCCCAGGAGGAAGACACGATCACTGTCCAGTGGACTTTCAATTCTACCAGATCACACCAAACCGCAGGCGAGACAAACAGGACTTGCCAGCTGCGGAAGGGATCCGTGGCCTCCGCGAGCGGGTGGCGTCTATAAAATGCGGCACAAATGTGTACGAAGAGCCAACAGACAGACAGAGACCGTGGCAGCAGACACCCGCGTGTCTCCTCGGGGAGGCCCCAGACTCTAGGAGACACGGACTCCGTCAGCCTCCACGACCGTCCAAAAGCTGCGCCACTGGCCGGACTGCGAAGGATGAGGGGTGAGTGCCCAGTGCCCCCCGACGCCGTGGAAAGAGGCTCGGATGCACTTAGTGGGAGGCCGGGTCGTGTGTATGCTCCGGCAGTGATGTGGCGCTGATATTCGGAGCCAGAAAATCGAGCGTGCCCAAGGCTCGAACAACACGTGCCGGGCGTAGAGATGTGTAGAAAGACCAAAATCCAGCGGGGTTATTTCTAATTTCGAAAAACTAAATGGAGCCAGAATGTCCAGTGTCGGGAAACAGTTCAGAAAGCCAGAGTCTGGCCTCCCAGTCCACTGCCCGTCTCCGTTAAATGTGCACGGAGCCCACCTATTACAAGCACAGGAGACGTTAGGGATGAAGTGCTGAGCAAGAACAAGCGAGTTACAGAAGAGCTTGTAGGTGATTGCGCCGTGCCACCCATGGAAATGTTCCCGTACAGACGAAGCCTGAAGGGCACGTTGCAAAATGCCAACAGTGCGTGTTACTTGGTGGCGAAGTTATGAGAGACTTTTATATTTTCCATTTTTTTCTATAATGAAAGTATAATTAAAAAATATACACTTTAGGGGCGCCTGGGTGGCTCAGTCGGTTAAGCGTCCGACTTCAGCTCAGGTCATGATCTCGCGGTCCGTGAGTTCGAGCCCCGCATCGGGCTCTGGGCTGATGGCTCAGAGCCTGGAGCCTGCTTCCGATTCTGTGTCTCCCCCTCTCTCTGCCCCTCCCTCATTCATGCTCTGTCTCTCTCTCTCTCTCAAAAATAAATAAACGTTAAAAAAAACTAAAAAGAAAATATACACTTTAGAACAGATGGGGTCTGCTTCCAGCGAGGGCAGAGGACTGTGTTCGGACAGGCCCCGTTTTGCTGAGGGTGGGGAAAACCACCAAATGTTACAGGCTCGGGTGCCCAGTGGAAGGAGGCACAGTGCCCAGGAACACGGAGGGCCGGGAAGGGGAAAACACCCTTGAAGAAAGGTGGGGAAATTGAGGCAGACCAGGCAAGTGTAGCAGAGTGGTGTCTGAGCCCCCACCCGTGGGCACCTGGACGGGAGGCTGGTGGGGCTGCAGGAGAGACGCTCACTGCAGTGTGGCCTGTTCTGGACCAACAGCACAGCTCTGTGGCAAACACCCGAACCTGGCCAGCCATCTTGACTGTTCCCAAAGACGGGGTCCAGGCTGAGTGCAGGTTTACGCTCAAGGGCGAATGGACAGTGAGTAGATGTGTGTGCGTGAGCCTCTCTGAGACCTTCACGCAGGGTCGTCAGACCACGAACAGCACCGACCACAAAAGGTAAAGCTGGGGAACTGGGTCACGTCAAAACGAAGGGCTCATCAGAGACCACACTGAAGTGTCTGGCTGAGCCTGTGCTGAGGGGACACAGACATGCTGACCGGTGTGTGGTGTGGACAGAGGGCACACTGTGCAACAGGGTCACCGGTGGCCCAGGCCCGCTAGGGCGGCGTACAGACGGGGTGCGACATTTCCTGTGGCCAGCTCCTAGAACACGGAGGGAAGGCCCGAGCCCAGCCCCCAGCTACAGCCTGACGACTTGTTGGTGGTGCTGTCTTCTGGTTTTGAAGCTGTGCGCGCATGTGCACGTGTGACAGAACTAGGAACGATCAGACGACGTGAAGAGAATGGCCCGTGTGAGAAGGGATGAGCACAAGAGCAGTGAAAGGGGATCGGGTTTTTTTTTTCAAGAGCTGGGTCAGCCCCATTCCCTGAGCACCCAACTGGGGTCTCCCATTGTGCCGTCTAAGGAGGGACAGGCCCCCAGGGGAACGGCAGGTGGGCTGGAGCGTGAGGAGGGATAGTAACGACCACCGGCGCAGTGCCTGGCACTCACCAGCATGCCACGGAGAGGAAGGAGGCCCCGGATCCGGAAGTGGCTGGTACCCGTGACCCCTTTGCTTGTGTAGAGCAGCATATCTGAGAACTGAAGACGACAGGCTTTATTACGTGAAGCTTAAAAGCAAGCGACAGGTTTCAATGTCTTACTAGACCAACTTCAGCGCCTGGGGCCTTTATGTGGTTATCAAATTTGCTCAGCTTGCTGGAGATTTGGGGCAAAAAAGGGATTTTTTTTTTTTTCAGTCACACGATTATTTTGACGAGCTGGTAACCACACGAGGCAGCAGATCCCTTAGGCCCGCGTGCCTTAGGCCCAGTGCCCGCCAGCTGGAGGCGGTGGGGACTTCTGGCTGGTCCTCCGGTCAGGCTCAGCCAGGGTGGCTCAGGCTGGGGTCTCCTAAGTGGCAGGAGGAAGGGAGCCGATCAAGGGGACCTGCCGGGAGGGCCTCTCTGAGGCAAAGGCAGCTCTCAGCAGAACATTCCTGCAGCAACGGGAATGTGGACTTTTCTATCTTCTGGTTTTCTGATGGCCTTGCAGACAGGCTCCCAGAACACAGAATGAGGCAGGCGCCTCGCCGCGAGTGTTTTGTGCCGTCCTAGGCGGGCTCCTGTCTGACTTGGAGCTGCTTGCCTGGGCCTCAGCACTGGCTCACCGGACACAACCACACCCACCCCACCTACCAGAAAGAACATTCTCTGCTGCAGACCTTTCTTGGTGAGCTTGTGAAGGCAGCCCTCGCGGATGAACTCCTAAAAGAGAGAGATGAGGTCCTGTTTGTGCCGAAGGCCACCTCTGCAGGTGGTGTGCTGGCGGGGCTGAGGGCCAGGTGATGTCACCATTTATACTTCTCTGAGCCCGTCTGGATGAGCCACTCACAGGCCCCCGTCCGACCCTTCGACAGTGCCCTCCTACCCAGGACGCTCCATGCTTTTCCGACCTCTTCCCTTCCCTCCCCCCCCCCCCCCCCCCCCCCCCCCCCCGCCTGCCTCCCTTGGCATCCAAGTCGGTCCCCAGACTGTCTGCTGAACACCTGCAGCCCCGTCTCGCCACCGGCCAGCTATGCTGAGAGCCTTCATGGAATGCAAAGGGCACTGTTCTTGTTGAGGGGAAGCTTCTGGAAGGTTCAGACACAGAGATACCGGAGTTCAGCTTTGAGGAAAAACTCGGCCAGAGCAGCCTGAGAATGGGAGGGAGGAAGGGACAGCTGGTTCCCACCAAATGTTCACAGGTAATTAGTGTCAGCTGCCACCTGGGCACTGGCATTTGGAGAAATGATTCCCCAAACCACGCAGGCTTTTCCACCCCAAAGGAATGAGGCCCTGGTGGGAGCCGCCCACACTCGTCCTGGGCTGTCCCTCCACCGAGGAGGAGAGGGTGCGGCCTCTGCCGCCAGGGCCTGATGGCACCACCAGGACCCGGGCACGCCCTCACACTTCCCCACCTGCCCCGGAAGCAGCACTTCCCAGGCCCTCGGGCGTCCACACAGGCCTGACTGCCCATACCAATGGCGGGAAGGGTCGGTCCTGGTAATTCCGAAGAATTCTGGTTTGGACAATTTCCAGACATTCTGTTGCCATCTGTCGTTCCTTTCAGAGAAGCAGGAGCGTGAGCTTCACACCCTGAGCACTCGCCAGAGACCCCGGCCCTCGAATGGACCGAGTGAGGGCGTAAAACGGAGGACTTTGCGGAACCCCTGCGGACCCACCTGCCCAGCCGCACGCACTCTTCTCACTCTTCGGCTGAGGGTGAGCAGGGAGCCCAGCCCCTTCCTGCGGCCCCCAGTCCTGTTTGCAGGGCTCCTCCCTTCACACAGCCGGCTCCTCCCCCTCTGCCCCAGGGAGGGGGAGCCGCAGGGCAGCAGCCCCTTCTCCGGGGAGCGTGTCCCAGGTCCGTGGCTGCCCTTCCCTCAAACACTGCCTGCGGCGCTGCAGGCTCGCCCCGGGTGGCAATTGCGTCCTGCCTCTCCGACAGGGCCCTGCTGGCCCTCTGGTACCTCATTATCAACTTTCTTCCTAGTTAATAACCCTGGCTCTTAAACTCCTCTGCTCACGTCTCTGGTGTGGCTTCTGTCTCTGACATGAGCATTTAGCAAGCAGGGAGACCAGGAGCCCTGAGTCATAAAGACGTTAGAGGTTTGGGCTAAAAACAACTATGGCAGCAAGTGTTTGCAGACCAGCCACTTCATGCCAGGCGCTGAGCCAAGCAGCTGCCATCAGTCCCCTGTGGCCCCAGACGTGGAGCAACTTGCCGGGCCACACAGAGACCCCGCCCGGTTTTCCAGTCCCTGTAGTGACAGTCCCCTGGGCCACCACCGATAACCCATTGCGTGGAGCACCGAGAGAAACAGCCTGTATTGAGAGCCCTACTGACCTCCAGGAGCTCACAGCCAGCTGCAACCCTCAGCCACGTGGCAAGGAGAGAAAGGACACAGAGCTGTCTGGGTACCAACCAAAGCCCTGACTCCAGGAGGTCAGCACCTTCCTGTACGTAAAAAAATTTTTAATGTTTTATTTATTTTTGAGAAAGAGAGAGAGAGAAACAGTGCTCGAGCAGGGGAGGGGCCGAGAGAGGGGGAGACACAGAATCCGAAGCAGGCTCCAAGCTCTGAGCTGTCAGCACAGAACCTGATGCGGGGCTCGAACTCAGGAACCGCGAGATCATGACCTGAGCCAAAGTCGGACGCTCAACAGACTGACCCACCCAGGCTCCCCCCTTCCTATACATTTTAGTGTAGCTCATTTCTTTTCTTTGTGATCCCACATTCTCCATACCTTCTAACAAGGCTAACACGGACACATGACTTACACACCACAGTCTGATTTGTGTTAAGATGAGAAACATCCCCCATGCAACCCTTAAAAAGGTCTTCTTAGGTTGACAGTACTAAGTTCAAAGCAAAAAGCATTAGTGGCGAAGCAAGGAGCAAGCAGCCAGGAGACATGTAGACCCATGGAAGGGAACTAGGGTTCAAAAAGAAACCTGCATATCTGTGTCTATGGACAGTTCAACAAATGGTGCTGGGAACACTAGATGTCCACGTGGGAAAGAATGGAGTGGGACCCCTACCTCACACCACACATAAAAATGAACTAAAAATGGATCAAATCTAAATATAAGAGCTGAGGGGAGCCTGGGTAGCTCAGTTGGTTGAGCGTCTGACTTTGGCTCAGGACATGATCTCACTGTGTGAGTTGGAGCCCACATCGGGCCATCTGCTGTCAACATGGAGTCCACTTTGGATCCTCTGTCTGTAACCTCCCCTGCTCATGCACTCTCTCAAAAATAAACAAACATTAACAAATATAAGAGCTGAAACACAGAAAGCTTCTAGAAGAAAACACAGACGTATATTTTCACACTGTGGACTGGGCAGTGATGTCTCAGCTGTGACACCTAAAGCACGAGCAACCCAAGAGAGAATAGGTAAATTGGATTTCGTGAAAATCAAAAATCTCTGGGGGCGCCTGGGTAGCTCAGTCGGTTAAGCATCCAACTCCCACTCAGGTCGTGATCTCACAGTCCGTGAGTTCGAGCCCTGTGTCGGGCTCTGTGCTGACAGCTTGGAGCTTGGAGCCCCATTTGGATTCTGTGTCTTCCTCTCTCTGCCCCTCCCCCACTCACAGTCACTCTCTCTCAAAAGTAAATAAACATTAAAAAACATTAAAAAGAATAAATTTAAAAAGTTAAGAAATCCCTAAAAACAAAATCCAACACCTTCTGTGTTGTGATACCATTGAGAAAGTGAAAAAACACCCCACAAAATGGGAGGGCATATTTGCAAATCCTATTCTGGTAAGTGTCTGGTATCCAGAACAGATAAAGAATCTCAAAACTCAACAGCAAAAAGACAACCCGGGTGGAGAAAAGGATCTGAAGTGGCATTTCACCAAAGAAGGCACACAAACGGCCGACAAACACACAACAAAAGCCTTGGCATCCGCTGTGTGAGAAACGCAAATCGTAACCACGGTGAGACACCCTGTGTAGCAGCCCGATGCCTAGACTCACAGGGACAAGGTACAGAGAAACCGGAATCCCCACACACCCCTGGTGGGAACGTAAAGCTGTCCGGTGACTCTGAAAGACTTTGGAAAGCTGGCAGTCTCTCAAAAGGTTAAACCCAGTTCCCATACAACCCAGCAGTTCCACCCCTAAGTGTCTACCCAGGAGAACTGGAAACGTGTTCACAGATGGACCTGTGTGGCAGGGACAGACGTTCACAGCAGCGTTGCTCACGGTCCCCATTAGGGGGAGCAGCCCGAGAGTCCACCAGCAGATGAACGGACACAGAGAGCATGCTGTATGCAGAGAACAGAATTTACAGCCACAAAAGTGAGTGAGGCCCTGACGTGCTACAACATGAACCCGAAAGCATGATGCTCAGTGAAAGAAGCCAGACGCAGAGGCCACACAGTGATTCCACTTAGAGGAAACGTCCAGAAGAGGCAAATGCACGGAAAGTGGATTAGTAGCTGCCGTGGATTGGGGACGGGGGAGGGGAGTGGCTAACAGGTGCAGGGTTTCTTTCACGGGGGATGAAAATGTTCTAGAGTTAGCGATGCTGATTGCACAACCTTGTGGACACCCTAAAGACCACTGGACTGTACACTTTGGAAAGATGAATTCTGCAGTATGTGACTCAGGTCTCAATTACACGCAATGAAGTGAAAAAGAACAAGGCTGGAGGCATCACAATCCCAGATGTCAAGAGGTACTACAAAGAGGCAGTCATCAAAACAGTGTGGTACCGGCACAAACACAGACACATAGAGCAGTGGAGCAGAATAGAGCCCAGAGATAAACCCATGATCACATGGCCAATTAACCTTTGACAAAAGGTGCAAGGATATACAGTGGGGAAAAGACGGTCTCTTCAACAAACAGTGCCGGGAAAACTGGACTACTTTCTCACACCATACACAAAAATAAGTTTGAAATGGACTAAAGACCTAAATGTGAGGCCTGAAACCATAAAAATCCTAGAAGAGGTAACATCAGAATAATTTCTCTGACATGGGCCTTAGCAACATCTTTCTAGATATCTCTCTTGAGACAAGGGAAACATAAGCAAAACTAAACTATTAGGACTACATCCAAATAAGTTTTTGCATAGCAAAGGAAACAGCAAAACAAAAAGGCAATCTACTGAATGGGAGAACATATTTGCAAATGACATATCTGAGAAAGGATTAGTATCGAAAACATATAAAAACTTACACAACTCAACACGAAAAAATAATCCAAGGTATGAACAGAAATTTCTCCAAAGAAGACATCCTCATGGCCAACAGACACATGAAAAGATGCTCAATGTCACTCATCACTAGGGAAGTGCAAATGGAAACCACAAGATATTACCTCACACCTGTTGGAATGACTTAAAAACACAAGAAACAATAGGTGTTGATGAGGATGTGGAGAAACGGGAACCCTCGTGCACTGCTGGTGGGAATGCAAACTGGTGCAGCCACTCTGGAGAACAGTGTGGAGGTCCTCAAAAAATTAAAAATAGAACTCCCCTACGACCCAGTAATTCCACTATGGTTATTTACCCAAAGAATATGGAAACACTATTTGAAAAGATATCTGCACTTCTAAGTTCACTACCGCATCATCTACGATAGCCCAGATATAAAAGCAACCCAAGTCCACTGACTGATGAATGGATAAAGAAGACGTGGTGTATAGATAAGATGGGGTATTACTCAGCCATAAAAAAGAATGAAATCTTGCCATTTGCAAACACGTGGATGGATCTAGAGAATATCATGCTGAGCGAAAGAAGTCAGAGAATGATAAATACCATATGATCTCACTCGTACGTAGAATTTAAGAAACAAATGAAAAAAAAAAAGAGACAACCCCCCCCCCCCCCCCCCCCCCCCCGCCCCCCGGCAAAGACTCTTACCTATAGAGAACACACTGGTAGTTCCCAGAGGGGAGGTGGGTGGGCAGATGGGTAAAACAGGTGAGGGGGATTGAGAGCCCACTCACCGTGAGGAGCACAGAACCATCACTGTATTGCACACACGAAGCTAACACAACAATGTATTGTGAACTACACTGGATAAAAACCAAACAATTAGGTGACCATCTCAAAAAACTTCCTCGAAGTCACTCACCCTGCCGGGAGTGATGAGATTCTCTATGCCGACCAAGTCCCGCTGCAGCTCTGTCAGCTTCTGGAGGTTTTCCAGCCGGGCAAGGCTGTGCTGCAGTGTGGAGGTCACCTCTGTGATGGCCTGGAGGGCATCTGTGAGGAGAGACCCCTCAGTACAGGCACCGGGGAAGGTGGGCATGGAAGGAACCCTCCACCCACACCTCTGCCACAGGAACTGGCATTTTAAAAGGCAGTTTTAACCCAAGGAACATTCTACTCCCAACTCCTCACGGGACTGCCGTCCATGGTTTGCAGCTGCCAGGGACAGCACGTGGCGGTCCCTGCAGATGCCTCGACATTTGGACCTGTTCCGTCCAAACCACTGACTAGCTAACGCTCCGGCTTGGAAAACAGGAAGAATGGTCTTTGTGAATAATTGCCGTTCTGGGCACAGCCGTATTTGTTTTTCAGGGAGAACTAGCTACTGTAGTTGAAAGGTGAATAATTCGCATCTTCAAAACCTTTGTCCTTTTTCTCCTTGAATCGAGAAACACCTGCCAATCTTGTAGTTCCAGTACAGATATGAAGGTTTATCATCAGGAGGGGAAACTCATTCAGACAAAGCACAAAAGCAGCCACGGAGGGTGGCCTTCACCACGCAGCCCTGACCAGGCCACACCGGGAGCAGCCGCTTGGCCGGAGCAGAGTGGCCACATTTTGTTTCCTTTTGGGGACGGCTCAGAGAAGCTTCCACCCTCCCGCCAGAACCTCCGCCGACAGCCTGGCCACTGCCTGGTGCGCCCAAGAGGCACAGCGGGAGCTGTCTGCACCCTCAGCTCCGCCCCTGCAGGTCGGTTGCTCCCAGCGGGGTGCCCACCCCTGCGTCACAGCTTTAAGAGGATCAAATCGGATAAGAAAGCACGCGCTTTGATGAGCCGCTCCTCCGGAGGAACCGCTGGGAGAGCCCCAGGGACGGTGCACGCCCCTGAGCGCCTGCGGCATCCGGCCTTGCTGTGCTGCAGGGCTCCCGTTGAGTCTGGACGCGGGGGCACACGGATGCTTGCTTTGCTCTGCCGGTGCACCGCGGGCTGCCTCGCCGGTGTCCCTCGCTCTCAGACGCCTTGTGTGCATGGAGCACAGGGCCGGAACGTGGGCTCGCGCTGCACCTTTGTTGGCTGTGGAAGCTGGGGACACGTGTCTGACCTACTGCCAAACTGATGTCCCCAGGCCCACCTGTGCCTGAGTCTCCACAGAATCACAGTGATGTCGAGGGATCAGACACACACGTGTGGCCCCGAGCCAGTGCCAGGCAGCGCCCTCAGGAAACCCTTACTGAATGAAAGATAAAATAACAACACAAGGGGCTCCCCGGGTGGCTCGGTCGGTTAAACGCCTGACATCGGCTCAGGTCATGATCTCGAGGTCTGTGAGTTCGAGCCCCGCGTCGGGCTCTGTGCTGACAGTTCAGAGCCTGGAGCCTGCTTTGCATTCTGTGCCTCCCTGTCTCTGATCCTCTCCTGCTCACACTCTGTGTGTGTGTCTCTCTCTCTCTCAAAAATAAATAAACATTAACAAAATAACAAAAAAACACAACGCAAGCCTCAACCTAAAGGGATCCCCTTTTGCCCAACAGGTTCAAGGAAGCCCTGCAGGTCGGGGAACAGGTGGGAAGGGGCCCTGACCGCTGCTGTCAGCTAAGCATGTGTTTCGTCCATGGCTTTCCCGGTGCTCTAGAGATGGCCAGGCTCTGAGGCAAACCCATCCAGGCTGTCGGGTTATCAACACTGTGTCATGTTAACAATTTACACAGCACGTTCAGACACACAACCTTGCTGGGTTTTTGCATCAGCAGAACCCCAGCCCTCCCATGCATCAGCCCGGGGATGGGTTCCACCAAGTGGGAAGCCGGTGGTAGCCAGCGGGCCCCGCCCTCTCCACTTGCACTGGCCTCCCTGCCGTGTCCTGGAGCCCGGGCCTCCCCTGCCGGCACCGCCCACCCCACGGCCAACGGACTTTTATAAACGCTCTGTACTTGTATCACCCTAAATGTGCTTGCGAGGATTTCCCACAATTTTGTCCTTTTATCGAGCAGAAAGCCCTTGCTTTTGGAATGAAGAGGAAGGGAGATGTCAGTGTCCTATGACACATTAGAAAGTATCTTATTTACTCCCTTCAGGACTAGGTGGGGACCAGCTAAATAATCTTTCATCTTCCAATGACAGTAGGGGACTCGCACAAAGGCTGGCACCAGAAGCGCACAACTAGAGGTCGTCTGTAGGCTTAAAAGCTCTGGGTTTATGCTCCTTTGCCCCTTTAACACAAATAAAAATGACCAAGCTCATTAATATTAGAAGCTTCTGATGGGCCATGCTGGCTCAAATGCTTGACTTTTAGAGCCAAGGCTTCAAGGCCAGAAAGGGTCAGCTTTCTGCTGCTCTCTACCGGCAGTGGACTTGGGTGGGTGGGGGGGGGGAACCCCTCACAGCAGAAGGCCACCGTGACTTGGCGAGGCGATCGGAGTCCTTCCCTACACTGCGCAGACGTGCAGAGAAGAGCCCTGCCCTGGAGTGGCAGAGCTAAAGGACGGGCACCCACCTCTCCGGCAGCTGGGCGGGGGGGTGGGGGGGGGGTGGGGAGGGGACTGCGGCCAGACCAGCCCTCCCAGGCTCCCACGCACTCCCCAGTTCCCAGTAAGAAAGCCAGCATGCTGCCCCGTAGCCGGGCCTCTGGCACCCGTCCACGCCGGCTCTGGGCCACACCGGCTCCCGCCGGTCCGGCCCACACTCACCACGGCAGTCCGCGTAGTCACGGTGCCCGGGCTCATAGCGGCCGCACAGCCGGCTCAGCAGCAGGCGGTAGTGCACCAGCCGCTGGATGGGCTTCAGCAGGAACGCATTCAGGGGCAAGTAGCAGACTTTCTGGAGCTCAAACTCTTTGTACACCGTCTCCAGCTTCTTAAAGCGTTTGGCGGCCTTTTCCAGTTCCGTCAGGACTTCATCGTGCCTTTGGAAGTAGCTGGTGAACTCCTGTTGGGGCATAAAAGGGAGGGCCTTAGGTTGGGAGGCCGGGAGAGGGGGGCCCACGGGGACAGCCTGGTCAGCCGGAAATCTCAGTGGGGCAAGACAGAAAAGGACGGCCGGTGCGCGTGCGACCAGACGGCACTCGGACGGGAGCGCGGGGCTCAGCCACAGGGTCACCACCACGTGTGGTGAGGGGACACGGGGTGTTAGCCCCACTTTACAGATGAAGGGCTGGGGCTGAGAGGGCCGTAACCTGCGTCACGCGACACAGTGGTGCTGGGCGGCAGGGAAACAGACCAAGCTCCCCTCTGCCCTCAGCCCCGCAGAGGCCGTAGGTCCCAGCCACGTGCAGAGCAGAGCGGGTGTTCGAGCCACTTGTTGGAGTGGGAATGATCACTCCTAATATTCTTACAGCACAAATCAAAGCACACGTGTATGGATTCTGAGTATTATACAGATAATCCCAGCCAGTCCCTCTCTACCTTCTAGAAGGTTTCAATATTAAATCAGTTCGTTTTACTAATGTTACACATAACGTCTGTGGTACGATAACCTCAAGCAGACTCGTGCGTATTTTGATTTTAAATTTGTGCAAGTGCTTTTGGGATAGGAATGACGAATTTGCTACCTGGCTCAGAAAACCAAACAAGTCTCAGCGTAAGAGAAGGGGCTCCGAGCAGGGCTCTCTGAAGACAGAACTGAGGGATCTGTGGGCCCCCCAGGCTTCTAGGAGTGGGGCCTACAATATGTCAGGAGTCTGGCTGGACTGGCTGGAAGGCAGGACAGGCCTGGGATGGAGGCGGCGGCCAGCCCAGCGAGAGGCCATGAGGGCTCGGAAGCCCAGAGCAGTGGGTTTGAGTCCCCGGGCAGGATGCCGCAGGGCTGCTCCAGGATGAGCATGTGGGTGGGGCACCTGTCCCAGGTGTGTTTAGCCAGAGTGAGACCCCTGAACAGCGAAAGCACGGCTGGCCCCGTTGTTTTCCACACCGGTGACAACTGGTCCTAATGAGAAGACATGCTGCTTCTGCCACGTCGCTGACCTCGGCTCCCCAGAGTCGCTCCGTACTTTCCTTGGCACATTCCCTTCAGGGAGCTCTAACACGTCTGAGGGAGAAAACCTGAACTATAAGCCAGCAGACCTGTGTGCAAAGACCCACTGCCAGCCTAGACACGTCCTGCACATCCTACTGCAGCTGGTGAGCTCAGCAAGGACAGCGACAACTATACGGGTCAACTGTGATCAGCAGGCATCAGGAGCGCCAGCCCTCAGCACGCTATTCCCTCTCATGCTGTCCTGAGGGAACACTGCTCTAAGGGAAATGCTGTCCTTAGGGGAAGGGTGTCTGAGGAGAATGATGTCCTGATGTCCTGAAGAGGAAACTGCACTAAGGGGACCCTGTCTTTAGGGTCTGCAGTCTTTTTTCAAAAAAATTTTTAGGGGCACCTGGGTGGCTCAGTCGGTTGAGCGTCTTTCATTCAGGTCATGATCTCGCGGTTCGTGACTTCAAGCCCCGTGTCAGGCTCTGTGCTGACAGCTTGGAGTCTGGAGCCTGCTTCTGTGTCTCCCTCTCTCTCTCTCTGCCCCTCCCCACTCGTGCTTGCTCTCTCTTTCTCTCTCTCAAAAATAAACAAACATTAAAAAAAACTTTTCAAAAAATGAAGTAAAAAAAAATTTTAAGTGTATTTATTTTGAGAGAGACAGAAACAGGGCGAGTGGGGGAGGGACAGAGAGGGACAGAATCCCAAGAAGGCTTTGTGCTGCCAGCACAGAGCCTGACCCGGTGCTCGAACTCATGAAACCTCAAGATCATGACCTGAGCTGAAACCAAGAGTTGACTTATAACTGACTGGGCAACCCAGGCATCCCGAGGTTTTGCAGCCCTGAGGGAAAAGCTATCCTGAAGGGAATGGTGACCTGAGAACCCTGATCTGAAGGGAATTTCATCCTGACTTTTGTGTCATTCTAAGGTGAAAACTGCCCAGAAGGAAAGGCTACTATGAAGAAAACTTTGTCCTGAGCAAAATGCTGCCCTGAGGGGAACACTGCTGTGAGGGGAAAAATGACCTGAGGGGAAAACTGTCCTGAGGTGAATGCTTTCTGAGGGAAAACTCTGAGGTGAACACTATCCTGAGGAGAAAACTCCCCTGGAAAGAGCTGTCCTGAGGGGATAAATGACCTGAGGTGAATTCTGTCCTGAGGCAAACACTATCCTGAGGGGAAAACTGTTCTGAGGTGAACACTGTCCTGAGGGGAATGCAGTCTGGTCCTGAGGGGAAGGCTGTCCTGAGAGGAAGGCTGTCCTGAGGGGAAGGCTGTCCTGAGGAGAACACTGTCCAGCCCTGAGGGGAACGCTGTCCTGAGAGGAATGCAGTCCAGTCCTGAGGGGAAGACTGTCCTGAGGGGAATGCAGTCTGGTTCTGAGAGGAAGGATGTCTTGAGGGGAATGGAGTCCAGTCCTGAGGGGAATGCTGTCCTGAGGGGAAGGCTGTCCTGAGGGGAACACTGTCCAGTTCTGAAGGGAACACTCTTCTGAGGGGAATGCAGTCCAGGTCTGAGGGGAAGAATGTCCTGAGGGGCACGCTGTCCTGAGGGGAACACTGTCCAGTCCTGAGGGGAACGCCGTCCTGAGGGGAATGCAGTTCAGGCCTGAGGGAAAGGCTATCCTGAGGGGAACATGGTCCAGTCCTGAGTGGAACGCTGTCCTGAGGGGAATGCAGTCCAGTCCTGAGGGGAACGCTGTCCTGAGGGGAACACTGTCCAGTCCTGAAGGGAATGCCGTCCTGAGAGGAATGCAGTCCAGTCCTGAGGGGAAGACTGTCCTGAGGGAAACACTGTCCAGTCCTGAGGGGAATGCCGTCCTGAGAGGAATGCAGTCCAGTCCTGAGGGGAATGCAGTCCAGTCCTGAGGGTAAAGCTGTCCTGAGGGGAATGCAGTACAGTGCTGAGGGGGAAGGCTGTCCTGAGGGAAAGGCTATCCTGAGGGTAACACTGTCCAGTCCTGAGGGGAAGGCTGTCCTGAGGGGAATGCAGTCCAGTCCTGAGGGGAAAATTGCCCTGGGGCAAACACTGTCCTGATGGGAACACAATCCTGAGGGGAAAACTGCCTCAGGCGAATGCTGTCCTGAGGGGAACACTGTCATGAGGCATACGCTCTTTACAGGAGAATGCTGCTCTGTGGCTAATGCAGTCCTAAGGGAAAGCTATTCTAAGGGAGTCTGTCCTGAGAGGAAAACTGTGCTGAGGTGAATGCTGTCCTGAGGAGAAAACTCACCTGAAGGGAAATCTGTCCTGAGTGGAATACTGACCTGGGGTGAACCATGTTCTAGGGGAATCGTATCCTGAGGTGAACAGTGTTCTCAGGTGAATGCTGTCTTGTGGGGAAAACGGCCCTGGGGCAAATCCTTAGGGGTACGCTATCCTGAGGGGAGCTATTCTTGGATGAACACTGTCCTGAAGAGAACTGAAGGGAACGCTGTCCTGAGTGGAATGCTGTCTTGAGGGGAAAACTGCCCCGGGGAGAAACATGTCCTGCCTACAAAACTGTCCTGATGTGAACGCTGTCCTGAGGGGAAAGCTTCCCCGAGGGGAAAGCTGTGTTGAGGAGATAACTGCTCTGAGGGAATGCTGCTCTGAGGGCAACGCTGAGGGCGCACTGTCATTTGCTACGTATGGAGTTATCACACCAACACGTGGTACCTTTAACTGATGCATGTTCCTGAGCAGGATGTCCCCGATTCGTTGATGGCCACCTGTGGAATGGGCACTGGAAGACCCTTCCCTGGAGTGGACAGAGATGGACAAATATGGTCAAAACCTTGTTAAAACTTGCGAGCTGTACTTTGACGCTAGTGTGCCTGGCTGTCCTAGTCTTAGAATGGCAGTGAGATGCTTCAAGGTGGGAGGCCCGTATATGACAGAAGACGGTAATGAGGCAAAAAAGCGGATCTACCTTGACTTCATTCTCTCTTACGGAAAAGGAAGAATGAAAGTGGCTGCTGTTACAGGTCTACCCCTCCCACAAGTTCTAAAAATATGCTTCGACCAAACAATGGTTCTTGTGAGTTAGTTTCTGACGCTGGGAATTTCCTGAGGGCAGTGATATAGCTACGTCGGCGGAGCTGGCCGTGTGGGGGTCCAGGGCAGGGGCCGCCAATTGTGCAGGGTGTTACCAGAGTGCCAGCCTCTGCTCCACCTCACGCAGGAAGCCTCTGTGGAACTCGTAGATGGGGTCTATGTTGGAGAAGAGCAGGGTCATCAGATCTGCAGGCATGGCGTCCTCCTTGACCACCGCACTGCGGAACCACTGCAGGAAGAGCTCAGGGTGACCGAGGAACCTCACCCCCGATGGTCTGTAGCCATAGGACACACGGCACCGATCCCAGATTCCCCATCGTTCAAATCAGTGCTACAGCTATCCTCTTGGCTGATCACCCAGTTTTCACAACATACGAAAACAGTTCTGGGTGAAAAGCTTCAAGTGGATACTAGTTTTACAAAAAAACTTGGACTCACTATTCTGACTCTATTCTTAGACAGGCTTGAAGGCAAACATGTTTAATAGAAGATAAACATGTACATCTCATGGTGGCCAAGAGCTACTTCTCAGGACAGATGCTCTATTTCTGGTGTCGATTATATTAAAGAAGACAAAGTAACAAAGGATTTAGGTTTCATACCACAGTGAGAACTTCTAAATCCTTCAGGTATGTTCGTTCTGTAGCGAGAATCTCCTTCGCTATGAAATAGGCCTCATCTGCTGCCATGCTCTGCAAGAGGCACAGACAGTGTGAGCGTGTGTCTGTCGGCCACGTCGCCCACGCTCACAGCTCTCACTTTCTTCTGCCCAAGCTGACATCACTGTGCGCTTTTCATCTGTAATTCCTGAAGGGATTTACTTGTGAGTCCAAACATAAGCCCAGATGGATCTCCTTCACATGTTTTCCCCATTTTATGTTATTTTTTTAGAGGGAGAAAAAAAAAATCACTGTTCAAACATCAACATGTTCTGAAGCTCAATACTGGTTTTGTAATGAAATTATTGTTCTGGTGTCGCTGCCAGGGGTGTAGCTGGTTAACAGATACATGTGTCCATATACACGCATGTATGTGACTAGGAACGATTAAGCTGAACTCACAAAAAAGTCATTAAAGTTGCCAAACATTCTAACTGTGCCCAACGTCAGAGCACCAGGCCGGCTAACACGCTTTGAGTGCAGGGCCAGAGATGACCCCGCCCTGGGAGCTCCGAATTCTCCGTCGTCACGGCCTCTGCCTGACTCTAGGGCGCCGGCAGCCAAATCAGCAGGGAGGGGACCCGACCCTCGGGAGCAGGAAGGGCTGCCGCAGGCCCCCTGGGAACCTGGGCCACACCACACCCAGCTCTCGGCAGGCCAGCAAGGGACAGGCCGCATGCCCCACGTGGGTGGCCCTGCTCAGCCCTGCGGGGCTCCTCCACGCCATGAGCGCCTCAGGTAGCTGCCTCTGTCAAGGTCCGGCTCGAAGGTCCCTCCTCCGTCCTGTCCCACCTGGCTGACACCCTGCTCTGTTCTATCCCTGCACGCTCCCCTGTAGCTCCCCCACCCGGCCGAGGACTTCTCTAGGGCTGGCTGTCCCTGAGGCCACCAAGCAAACACCTACAGAGCACATACCAACGGCACACAGGCACCGGGGACTCCCCCAGGAGTAGAGGCCCCTGCGCTGGAGCGACAGCAGTGGGAGGAAGGGCAGAGCGGGGAGGGTGGAGGCCGGAGGTGTGGGGCGGCCGCAGCCCCTGCCGGCAGAGACAGGGGGTTGGGTAGTGGGAGACCAGCTGGAGGTCAAGGATGGGGGGGGACGGGCAAGAGACAGGTGAGCTGGTTACTGGTGGGGGAAGCAGGGCGTCTCTGGGGCCTACTGGAGCTCATTGGGAGGGGCTCGGATGCCGCGCCAAGAGCAGCATGGGGGGGCTGGGGCCTGGCAGAAGCCTCCGTCCGTAGTGGGGAGGGGAGCAGCAGGACCCGGAAAGAGTCTCCTGGTCACGTTCTGGTGTGGGTGGAGGTCCAAGGGACAGAGGAGACAAAGCTGACTGTAATTTTGGGTCCAGGCCCAGGGACAAAGCTGCCATCCCCGAGGTGACAGGTTTGGGGAGGAAGGTGAGGAGTCGGGTTTGCACGAGTCTGGGAAGGGCTTTCGACACCGGCGAGAAGCTGACAGGGGAGGCTGGGCTAGAGGCTGCTATTTGGGGGCCCCTCTCCTCCCTGTGCCCCTGCCCCCAGGTGAAGTTGACCAGAGGTTGCCATGTTCCCACGGTGGCAACACAGTCTCATGCCTCCTGTGTGCCCCGGAGACCACCGATTTGGCCGTGACCTCTCCACCCACAGGGACTACTCCCCGCGGCCCACTCTTTCCAAATAGTCAACAGCTGCTCTGTCCCAGCAGCCCCGGTGAGCCTGCTCTGCGGTCACACAACACCGGGGTCCCAGCAGCATCTCCTTGGAGTGCCCACCCCTTGTTCCTAGAGCTCCAGACCCCCTCCCTGCAGAGTGGCAACCTTTGTGGCTCTTCAATTCTTTCTGGGCTTTGTGCTATTGAAACATGACTTTCCAAATCCTGATTCAGTCCAGTCTCTTTGACACACCCCATCTCCACCTGAGCTCGAAGTGCCCAGCAAGCTCTCGGGGGCCAGAGCCGAGGAGGAGGCCCACGTTCCCGGTCTGCAGCCTCTGCCCACCCCCATGCGGCCAAGTGTCCCTGATCCTGGACACCTCCACCTGCACGCTGTCGGCCCGGGGGTTCTGGGTGGGGGATCCAGGGCAGGCAAGCTGGCTTCCTACCCACATTTCCTTTGCGTGGGGTCCCAAGCAGTGCCTTAGCCCTGAGTGCGATCCTGCAGAAGCAGGGTCACCCTGAGGTTCCAGACCGACTCCTCTTCCGTGGGGGATGAAAGTACCCACAGAGAAATGCTCAGAAACACAGCCACGGCAGTGTCACTGATTAGCTCACCATCACGTCACAGGCGCCACCAGTTGGTGACGGGACACAGGGGTGTGGCAGTCAGGAGCGGCTGACGGACAGCCTGCCTGTGTACCGAGGGTGGTCCGCAGGTTTCCAATGTGGTGAAAAACCTCTTAGGGAAACTCCCAGGGGAGCAAAAGCCCGGCCGGCCTGGCTGCAGATCGGTGGGGCTGGGACGGCACCACCCCGGGAGGAGTGTACTTTCTGCCCAGCCCTGCCACCTGTCCTCACAGGAAGCAGCCCAAGAGCCCCAGGCAGGGAGTGCCCCACAAAGCACCTCAGTCTTCGTCCCTCCCGAATACTGTCAGTCCTCAAGGATTTCTATTGGAAAGGGGGAGAAACAGCCAGTTAAGTGGGACACACTGGGGAGGAGGGACGCCGGGAAACAAGTGGGCGGGTTGCTCCCCACGGAGGGGGAGTCCGGCAGTCAGAGGTAAACGCAGAAGCCCCTCCCAGCGCTTAGCCACTGCTGAGGCCCTGCCAGGGAGTCCTCTTGGGTCTGTGGCCCATGTGTCTTAGCGCCAGCCTGTGGGCTGGCTGTGGGCAGCACTGAGGAAAGTGCCCAGGGACAGGAGAGGAGGCAGGGGAGCTGTGGGGCAGGGCCTGGGGTCCCCAGGTGCAGGGCCCAGACATGGCTCTGTGAGCCTGTGGTGGGGCTCCCAGGTTCCATCTCTGAGGCCTGGTCTGGTTGGGAAGGCCACGGCCACCCACTGGGAATCCGGCCGGTGACCCTCGCAAGTCTCCCTACAGAACCACCTAAAGGATGACTATTTTTGTAGTGCGGAAGAGTAACAAAACAAAATTTAGTTTTTTATGCAGCTTTCCAGCCATTCTGTTTATGCACCAAAGCAACAGTGAGCTAAACAGATAATTGTTAGGTTTGCAAAATCAATAAATAAAAACACCCCAAGCCAACAGTCTTGCTGCCAAACCGGGTTCGAGGGACCAGAGTGACCTCTGCCAGGCAGCCCGATGTGAACAGAGGCCTGAGGGGCGGGGACTGTGAGCCCTGCCCCCGGGGCCGGGGTCCTGGGATCCCTGCCCTTGCCAGGCGCCCAACGGCACACCCCGTCTTCCGGTTCAGGACCTGCTCTCTCTGACAGGGGCCCCGGGAGGGAGTGTGTGCTGAGGCCTCGCCAGGCCTCCGACTGGTCGACCCCACTTCTCGAGGAATCTCCCGCATCCCACGCATGGCATCCCTCGGAACAACTTCAGGATGAAACCCACGGCCTGACAAGGTGTTCTCCACGACAGCCCTCCCACGTGACAGGCACCTGTGAGGCAGGGTCCCACCTGCTGGCAGCCCAGTTGAGCCTTGCTTCCTTCCAGCTTGCTCCTCGAGGACCCTAAACAGGGGGACAGGTGCCCTCTGGGCCACCACAGTCCACCGCCCGTTATTTCAACCACTCTCTTCCCCAAGCCTCCAGCTGCCTGGCCCCTTTGTCCTCCCTTGTGTGCCCGCCCACAGAGCTGCCTGGCCAGGACCACCTGGTCTATGCTGCTGCTCGGGTTGTGGGGCGGGGGCACAGGCCAGGAGGGTGGGGGTGGCCACGCAACAGGTGCCACTGCCTCTGGCCAATGCCTCATCCTCGAGTTGGGGCTCTCCGACCTGCCGGCCTCCTGTCCCTGAGAGCAAAGAGAAACCTGTGGGCATCCCCTCAACTTTCCACCGCAAACCCCACACAACCCTCCTCCTGTGCTATCACGCCCCCTCGTGTGGACCCCACCCCACCCGGTCACTCCTTCAGAACCCACTCATCCACGAGACCAAAAAGATGGGGGTTCCTGGTCACCCTCCCAATTACCCGATCGTTGGAGAGAGTGCCCAACAAGGGAGGGAGGGCAGGAGGCTGAGAAGTCCCCCAAGGCCCTACCATTCCCACCACATCCCCACTTGAAGCCCACAGGTGCCAGGAACGGCCATTAAATGAATAAGGAAGCCTGCCTGTGCGCAAAGGTGGCCGAAGAGTCCCCAGTGACGTGCAGCTCTAGGGACAGATTTCACTGGGCGAGCCAGCCCCCTGGGACAGAGCTCGCCCTGGGCCCCCCAGGCTTCCCTGCAAACCAGGCCCACCAGCAGCCAGCCTCTTGCTGGGGCGGCGCCCACCTTGTGTTTTGGCTCCTCCTCGCCGTCCATCCTGGCTCCGCCAGCGTCGCTAAGGACAGGGCTCAGGAGGGGGAACAAGCCCTGTTCAGCTGGGCCCAGAGTCACCTGAGATGCAGGGCTCAGGCTCAGCGGGCTCTTCTGGGTGGAGGGAGAAGGCTGAGGACTGTCCACGGAAAGGCCTGGAATTGAATGGGGCGGGGGATGGAGCAAGAAATGAGAAAGGGCCGCCACATCGGCCAGACACCACAGTTCTTACCGTGCTTTAGCCAACATTAGCCTAACGCTACCACCGGGCACCTTCTGGGAGGCATGTAAACAAAGCCTCTATCAGGTGCAATTCTCAATATGACAGAAAGCGAAACGAACACAGGCTGGTGGCCGGTCGACCCGATTTCAGAGACCAACCACAGGTGGTTCGGACACCCCAGGGCTCTGAGTTTCTGGGGTTTTTTCTCGGTTCTAGACAAGATGCAACTGTGATGAGAATAAGCAGCACAAGGCCTGCGAAGCAAAAGGCACACCCTGAGTAGGGCGCTTCTGTGCGCACATTAACGGAAGGCAGATTGCGGAGCTTAGACGGAAGGTACCCACCTGGTGCTAACGAATCTGAAAAACAGAAGTGTGCTTTAAGGTCGCACTCCTCACTTAATCGTTCGTTAAAAAAACTGGATCATGTACTCATCATACTGTTTTCTACTTCCCTGAATTTTTTATTAACAAGGATTTTATATTGGTTTTCTAGATTCATACCACAACAGTAACTACTACTATTTTTCTTCTTAAAACAGGGTTTGCTTGGAACTGGGCAGAGGCCAAAGCGTGGCCGAGTCCTAAGAGGGCTGACGAGGCATGCCCCATCCCACGTTTTGCAATACAGGAATTCTGTTTTCAAGAGACCTTCAAGTCTGAAAGGGTTATTTCTAATGTTTTTCTACGGGAAATCAGTCAACTACTGAATGGCAACTTTTGAAGGTATCTTTAAAGCAGAGTTGTATGTAAGAAATCGAACCAGTTTAGAAGCTATTTATAATTGAAATTTACCTCAGGTTTACAAATGGGCGTCTAGCTCTCATGCTACCATTACTCCTGACTGTGGCTAAGTGGGCTTATGGAATGCGGGCACCTAAGGGACTTGGCCAGGACCCCTGGTGCCTCCCCACCCCACCTCAGCCCATCCACCATTGGCTTCAAAGCGAGATCCTCTTACACCGTAGACAGAGACTTCAAAAGCAGTCACCTATAGTGACCAGCTAACAAAACCAAACCTTGGCTTATTTGACCTCAAACATGCACGTGTGCAGGCAGGTTAGTGCAGAGGGCTGCCCGGAGGGCCGGGTGAGCATGGCACCAGGGAGCCCTGGGGCGCGGCCGGCAGGCTTGATTTTCACATTGACAAAGGTGGAGTTCTGGAAGGCTGCTGGTGCTGGCGGGGTCTCGCCCAGGGAGGGGGTCCCGCCTTGGAGGGGAGCTACCAATGCTATGAGGGCAGAACTTTCCTGTGGGCCTCTCACCACGACGGAGAGTGAAAACTCAAGCAAACATTCACTGACCGAGAAAACCTGGATGCTGTAAGAACATGAAATTATTAATCAAATCAGAATGTGCTTTTATTCCACATTAATTTAAACAAATTAGAATTTGCTTTTATTACACATTTAAAACATGCTAAAGCAACCTTGAAATCACATGGGCTTCCTTCGTGCCCTACTCATGTGCAGGAGCCTAGTCGCTTCTGAAGGGGTCAGATGGGGTCGAGGGCTCTGCCGGCCCCTGTGGTGCGGAGGACCCCTACGAGGGAAAGCGGTGTTTCCAAAGATGAGCTATTTTAGGACTCCTATCCAAAACCCTTTTTTGTCTCAAGCAAGCTCAGAACTGTGTCGGGAGATACTTTTACACACAGGAGAATTCACAAAAATGTCTAGAAGCTCCTAGCAACATACCTTATTTTTCACAACTGTACTGTTCAAAGTGTGAGAACTGAGATATTTCATACTCACTGGTTATGAAAATAAGGTAAGTCCACTGCTCCGCTCTGCCCCCCACCCCGCCCCATGCCCTGCGCAGCGCCTCCCTCAAAGATGGGTGGTCCTACCACAAGGTCATAGTGGACAGTTTCCCAAAAGTCACTGTGAACTTGACTTCATGTTTAAACAGCAGAAGGTGACGTTGGAGGAGGTGGTCCTCCCTGAAGTGTCATGGATGGGTGCCATGACCCGTGGGGTCGGGCTGGTCGGGCCATCAAACTAGAGAATGCGGCTTCCAATACACGGCCCTTCTGATGAACTTGTGAGAGGAACCACCCTTCCAGGACGGACCGCTCATTTGGAATAAAGTATTGTGGTTCCAGGGAGGGTACAAGCCGTCATTTGGTATTATCACTGTGGACGCTTACTTGACAAAAGTCGTCACCTCACAATTTAGTGAATAGATTAAAAAGTACCACAAACTGCTATTAAACACCTGTTTTTATTAAATCTGTCAGCTACATCGAAACAGAAGTCATACCTACTTCAAATTATGTGAACACAGATCCTACACGACAAAGCAAATCTGTTAGGAGACACTTTTTCAAGCAAGTGGCAGTGAGCATGGAACCCGTCTACACTGCTGCTGGAGGCTGCTGGAGTGGGCGCCACGGCTCCATGCCCTATCCTGTGTGGGTCAGCCTTAGTACTGCATCTGAGGTCACCAACGCGTACACTGCACACGGAGAACACAGGCGTGGGCTGTGGCTCTGTGGTGTGTTCTTCCGGACTGACAGAAGCCAGCGGTGTCCACGGCCTGCTGCTCTGGACCCTGTGTTGACAGCGCGCAAGGGCACTCACGTTAGAAGCTCCCTGCCATAGCAAACCCTGTCATCGCTGACATACCAGGATGCAGGTCTGAGGGATTTTTAAAATGCTAAGCCGTCGTTTCAGATACCACGGAGCACATTTAGTCTTAATGGACACGGAAAGAGTCTTCAATATTTGCGAAAACAGACTCCCGTGTCCGAGGTCCTCTACGGAAAAACCGCGAGAGTACTATTCTGAGTGACAGGGTCCCTACCATTGATCTACTCAGACACAAAGGCGGTGCTCTACTGTGTCACCGCAGGATCAAGAATGACCGGTTCCGGGACACCTGGTGGCTCAGCTGGTTAAACGTCCAACTCTTGGTTTCGGCTCAGGTCATGACTTTACGGTTTGCGAGTTCGAGCCCCACGTCTGTGCTATCAGCACAGCCTGCTTGGATTCTCTTTCTCTGCCCTTCCCCGGCTCACACACTCTCAAAATAAACTTTAAAAAGAAAAAAAAAAAAAAAGAATGACCAATTCTTCTACTTGTGCATGAGGAATTTTCCGAAATTCTTCCATTTCCAGCATCGAATTCTTTGAAATTGATAGACAAAAATGATAGCTATGTTCTACTGAGCACCTCATTCCTGCTGGAGTGGCTCCACGCTGTCCACCCAGTGTTCAAGACAGCTCTGCACTCAAAGGGCCAACGCACAAGATTTGATTATCTTTGAAAACGCACATTTAAAACATTTCAAACTGCCAACAGGAAGCAACTCTGACAGGTGATGTTCTTTATTTCCCAAAATGTCTAACTATCTTGTAATTTTTGAAATGCCATTTTAAAAAGCACAGTATTACACTTCTGTGATCATCTTCACCTTATCCATCTAACTAGCTGGGGAGAGATAACAGCACAGAGCAAAAGTTAGGCTTATTTTCATTTCGTACCTTTAAATTCTTTTTCAAAACCTTGTAATGAACTCTCTTGAAAATCCTGCCTAAGGTGGATGAAGAATCAAGGTTCGGTTTGGAAAATACAAGGTCAAGTCTGAAGGTTAATATGATAGCAAGAAAGTAAGATCTAGAAACTCCTTTCGTTTGAAAAATGGATCATTAATTCCATAAATGGAAAAGGCTAAACTGTACAGAGAATTCAGGTAAATGTGAGCATCACAAGTTAGCAGAAAACTACTTCTGGCTCTGCTTTTGGACTAGGATGTCGGGGGTCACTTTTACACAAAATCTGGCTCAAAAATAAGAGTGGAAGAAAAACGGCGGGCGCATGGGGCACAAACAGCAGCTGGTCGCCCGCCGTGTTACCGCCAAACGGCAGAGGAGGGCTGACTTGTGCCGTACCTTTCCACGGCGCTGTGGTGCTCACCTACAAGGCTGTGGGCCGGTGCCTGGCACAGGGGGACCTCAGGGGTGGATGTGGCTGTGGTGACCTGAAGTGAAGAGGGAGACGCCATCGTGCATTGTCAATCTTTTCTTTTGTTCTAAATAAACAGGACTCTTTCCCTGTTAAGGAAAACAGGTCTTGTGGCCTACAACACAGTCACATTTTGGGCGTCTGCAGGGGTGAGGTCTCTTGCGTGTGGTCCAGGGTGCCCTGCATCTGGGTTCTAACGGAGGACACGGGTCTTCTGAACCCACTGCAGCATCGGGGACAAGGTACCCACAACCAACTATTCAAAAAAAAACAAAAACAAAAACAAAAAACCCACAAAAAAGCCTGTATGTGATGTTGTTAGGAAACAAATGTAACCGAGATTGACATAATTCAGCAATAAAAGTCAGACGTTTTTCACCCTTCTAACCAGTCATCCTAGAGATGAGATGGAAAAGAGAAAGCTTTGAGCAGTTCCTTGAAATCTGGATTTGTTAATGACACACCTCGTGGGGACCCACGTGTCGCGGGAGGGAAGGACTTCCTGTGGCACACCAACCCTCTGAGTGGGGAAGGGACCACCCACGCGGGTTGTGGGGTGTGTGCCAAGGTGCTTTTCTAGAAGGCTGCTGCTGCTGCCACGGCCCCCCCGGTTCCGGCCACACCAGGCGCCAGGCACCGCGAAGCCCCAGGGAGGAGACCGGCAGCCGCTCCCAGGGGCCCGTGTTGCTCAGAGCACCAGGAGGGAGAGGTAGGTGAGAGCAGCATCCGCCAAGCTCCAGGACCCAGCGGGGGGGGCTGCACGGGGGGGGGGGGGGGGGGGGGGGGCGGCTCCGTGGGGGCAGCAAGAGCTCGTGTTGGCCAGAGGGGAAACTCAAGTTCAGACTCTGTGTAGCTGCTGCGCTTTGGGTCGGGGACTTCACAGGGTTCCAGCTGACTCGGGGAAGAAAAGGCACAACGTTCTCACCTTCAGAATTAAGAAGCCAGCAGCAGGTGTTCTGCGTGCAGTCTAA